TCGACTTGAGAAGCTGAAGTCACCAGGAACGAATGGCACCGAGACCACCCGGGAAGAGGGGGCGGGAGAGACGGAGGAGGATGTTCGTGAGATATATGACAAGGATGGAAAACTCGTTGGCCTCTCCGTGGAGAAAAAGCTGCGACGCTTAATTAACGTGGACTCCACACTCCTGCGTGATGCCAAGTCCTCATTGCAAGGGATGAAGAATGAGGCAGCGAGCGCCACTGGCCTGCAGCGTGCATTTAAGCGGACAAAGAAAACTCGACGCAGTTGAGGGTCATGAAAAGATCTTTTTTTTTGATTGTTTTTTTGTTTGATGTGTGTGTGTAATTTGAGAAGACGTATGCGGACCGTGGGAAAAGTAAAGAGTAATTTTACGCGTTTAAATGTGTGTGCATCTGTAATCATCACTCACCATCCGCTTTCTATCTATTCCACCATCACCACCGCCTTCTTCATTGACGGGGAGAGTGTGCTTGGGTGTGAGTGAGGACCGATGCGGAAGCACATCCTTTTCACACCCGCTCATAGAGGGAGAAGTAAAAGTAGACGGGTGATTTCTGTGTTTGTGTGTCTCTGTTGAACTGAATCTTCTTTTTTTTTTTTGTTTGCCTTCTTGTCGGGTCCCGTACACACAGAGTGGGAGGCCGTTGTATAATTTGACAACTGCACCCAATTGCTTACTCAACGATCACGTGTCCGTTTTTTTGCTCCACTGATCCCCGCGACGGTGCAGAAGGGGGTTTGAGAACAGGAGAAGGGAAGCAAACCGCAGCGCAGAAGGAAAATGGCAATTGGTTCACTGGCCTTTCTGGTGCTTAACTATGGGGCGGAGATGATTTTTATTCTTCACACACGTCTCATTGCTCAGAATGTCGAAAAAGAAATGGCTGAGACAGTGATGAATGATATGGTGAGGCATATGTTTAGTCCAGAGTTTCTGGCGGAGCTGTTCCGCCCACAGCCACTCTACTCATACTCGGCAGTCAAGGAGATATTTAAATCGTTGACGGAGATGTCCGTTATGCGCCTCTCACCATTGTCCATGAACAAATTATTTGAACTTATGGCAATGGGGGTGAAATACCAGCTTTTTACACTGCGTCACCCGCTGGAACTTGTGGAGATGACATGGACACATCTGGAGGAGTTAAAACGACTCATTACACCGGAAGCACAGGCGAAAGTCACCCCTGTCTTTGTCATGCTGGAAGGTTTGTGCAGTCGGCTTACACATGGCGACTTGGCAGAGATTCGAAAGGAGTTGCTGAATTTTATTGTTGGCCGTAGCACTGTTATCTCTGTGCTTTTTGAAGAGGGAATGCAGTCAGACAGAGGGTCTTTTGTTTTGCCTGTGGATCGAGTTCTTCCACCTCTTTCCATCTGTGAGCCACCGGGTAGTATCCGCTACTTTAAAAATGGGAAACTTGATGCGTCGACGGCGTTTGAGCATCGGGACGCCGTACTGCACCACCCACCATCGGTGCCGCTCGATAAGTGGGACCCGAAGAATGCAGGAACGCGGATGACGAAGAACGGCACGAATATATACGCCTCAGGCCGTCAAGAAGCCTCAACGCGGGCAGAAGCAAATGGGCCAACATCGTTATTGCCGTCTATGTCAAGCATGAGTCGTCTTAGTACTGTTCCTACGGCTGTGCCGTCGGACATTGCAAATGTGGTGACGGGGGAGTTGAATTATTTATCACGGTTTGTAGGATGCGGGCAGAATGCCCCACAGAAAATGTTCAAGCTGAAATTTTTTGACGACGTGGAGGAGGACATGGATGAGCACTGCGTGGGCGGCGGCGAGAAGGGTAGTAAAATTGGTGGCGCCACGGATACAGTGGGAGACCGGACGGCAGCTTCGACGATCCCTTTGGTCCGGATGACAAAAGCCGATGTGGAGTCGCAAAATAAGGAGTTGTTTAAGATTATGGATGGACTGCGCGTAGATGAAACAAGGGCGGGCCCTCCAGAGAGAGGCAACGATCTGCTGGATATCATGGACGAGGATTGAACGTGAACAAAAACAATAAAAAAAAAGAAAAACAAGAACCGTTTTCATGTGCACTTTTTTTTTTTTGAGTTTTTTTTTTTTTTTTGACATTTTGCTGCGATGCGTTTATTGGGGTTTGGGCGGAGAACGAGGAAGTGAGGGAAGGAGGGAGGAATTTGGAGATGGCGCGTATGCTCATTGCACTATCCTTATGCATCTCCTTTATATATGTATATATATATATTTGGTGGTTCCTTTGCTTGTGCTGCCCGATATGGTGAGGAAACGTGTTTAATCCTTTTTTTTTTTGTTTGTGTGTGTCTTTTGCTGGGCAGCGGGAGGAGGAGTATTGGGAGAGATACTGGAAACACACACACATATATATATATATACACACACACAACTTTAGGGACGAGATTATTCTGTTATCGCAATGCTTCGCCGGCCGCTCACATTTGCCACGGCTTCGGCGGCGGTAGCCTTTTCTGCGGTGCGCTCGTATCGCATTGTTCCCCACGTGTACAATGAGATTGAGGAGTTGGCGGAAACTCAGCAGGCCGGTCGCTGGTATATATCACACCGTAATTGTCTCCAGCAGCCGTTGAAACGGGCTGAAATTATGTGCGACAAACTGAACTACCGCGAAAAGCGTCGCATGGGGAAACTCCCGGAAAAGTCGGTGGCACGTCGTTTAAGTCAAACGTACGCGGTTGACGGGAAGGTGCACGAGAGCAAGTACAAGACAAAGTTGATTAATATCACAATTGTTGGCTTTGACGGTCACCCGTACCACTTTCGCATGTACCCAATGCCTGACGTCACGCTCAATACGCTGATTGATGGCTCTGGCATGTGCCACGGCTATGCACACTATTGGGGAAAGTGCAATAACCCGGACTGTGCCGACTGGAACCATGGTGATGGCTGCATGGTGAATGTTGACATTGAGACTCTTGACAAACTTTTACCCCCCAATCGATGGGAGTACACGTCGCTTACAAACTGGCGGTCTATGGACCGTCCTGACATTACCTACAACACACGCTTTAGCTGTCAGATACCCATCACTGAAGAACTTGACGGCGGCTTATTTGCACTGAAACAGTACTGGACACGAGCCTTGCGTGAGTCTGTCTCAGACTGGGGGCTTGTGGATGACATGGGCACAATTCACGGGGCGCGAAGCAAGAAGATTGAGCCATGGGCACCAATCATTGAGGAGCCCACAAAGGTGGACTTCCCCATTACGTTTGACATGCTGTGGGCGCAAAGCTATCAGGATATTATGAAGGCCAAATACCCTGATATAAAGCGGAAGGACGGTTACCACACAAAACCCGAGATGTGGGCGGCGTACGTTTAGAGATGGACCGACGAGCGGAAGGGAATGAAAGGGGGTTTAGATTGCAAGTGCAGTGAGTAATGGGATCGAACGAGGGCTGGTGGGATTGGGGTTGGGGGTTGGGGGTACAAGTCTTTTGTATAGGGAGTTTGGGTGGTAGCGGAGAATGGGGTGAAACCATTTGTAGTGCATCCGTGTCCGAAGAGCGGCAAAAAAAAAAAAAAAAAAAAAAAAAAAGAGACGAACATTGGGCCTCTGTTTGTATTTACTTTTGTTTTATGAGCCGTTTGTTTTTTCTGCTTGTATATATATATTTATGTGCGTGTGTGTGCGCATGTGCGTAGAGGGGAGGAAGGGGGAGGGGGCTCTCTTTAAACTGTAACTCCGGCATGTGTGTCTTACTGTCGTCGGTGATATACACTCACACGCTTCTCTGTAATTTAAATATATAAATAAATAAATATATATATTTTTTCTCTTGGCATTTCCTTTTTTTTTTCCTTTTTTTTGGGGTGTAACGCGTGCGTTGGGAGGAGTAGAACACGCCACATAAAGCTCTAAAGCAACAGACGGACGCGGGTTTGAAGTTGACAGCCAATGGCAGCTAATTTCTGGACGTCTTTATTTCACTGGACATACGCGCGCGGTTACATCCGTGTCCCAATTGTGATGGCGGTGCCAGTCTTATTCAACAAGTACGGGCTTTGTCTCTTTGATCCCGCCTTCCAGTACTGGAACGCTGGCCACAACCAAGTTGACATTTGGAACCGACTGAAGGAGAAGGTAGAGAAGATGGAGGAAGAGGAGGCGGCTGAGTAAATGTGGCCTTCTCCTCGTCCTCACCTGTCCCTGTGGATGTTGGTTTTGTCGTTGTGAAGTAGTAGCACCGATGGCAATAGCAGCGCGGTGGTGGTGCTGTTGCCGTGGGAAAACAGAGAGGGGAGGGAGGGAGGTAGAATCTCCTTATCTATGTCTTTTTGTATGGGTTAAAAAAAAAAAAAAGAAAGAAAGAAAGAAAGAAAGAAGAGAAATGTTGCAGGTGTGTGTGAGGAGGAGGATGAGGAGGACTCACAGCACGATACTTTCATGGCGATGGATGCCGGCCATGACGATGTCTACAAAATCCATCCATCTGTATATAGCGTGTGTGGGGGCGTAGGAAGTGATGACGGGTTAGGGTGGGGGGGATTTCCCTGCAACGTGTTGTAGGAATAATGATATGCGGACTTTCTATTTTTATTGTTGGTTCTTTTGGCATGGCTGCACATGTCTTGCCCTGTTTTCTTTTTTTTTTTTTTTTTGCAGTGGGTCAGCTTTCTGCATTACCGTTTTTTTTTTTTCTTTTTTTCTTTCTTTGTGTGTTGCAAAAGAAGCAGCAGGCAACACGCGGTTCCGCAAGAAACGAACAGCCAAAAAAATATATAAAAAAAGGAATAAAATAACGTCTTGGTGGTTTCTTATTTAAAAAGCAACAATAACAAAAAAAGAGCTGTAAAAGAAGGGCGGACGCAGTCGAGCGTGCGGTGAGGAGAGGAGTTTGCCTAAAAAGAGCGAGCAGAGAGGAGGTCGATAAAGGTGCGGGCATAGACATCAGCACACGTCGCAGTGAAGGATTTAACAATTCAGGAGCCGAAGGGAAGAGAGTGACGTGCATCCATGACAGATGATCTCCAGATGTCGAGGCATATTATTGTCAATGGCCTCCCAAACAATGTGACGCCCGAAAAGCGGGTACTCTTTTTGCGACACATGACAAAGAAGGTGAGTGAGGTTCTTGGACATGAAAACTTTACAATTCATTTAGTCCTTGACGAGACCACAGGCCTCGTGACGGGTGCATTTCTTTCATTCGCCACGGTTGCCAACGCGGAGGACGCCCTGGCACGTCTCAATCTTTACCGCTTTACAAAAACAGATGTTCTCACGACATACCGATGGTCTGCGTTGCAGGCGGCAAGCGCTGCGAAGGAAGAGTACAAGCCACCGGAGTTGACGGACGACGTGGACGCAGATCTTGCGCACACCATGTGTGAGGACATAATGGCACGTCCTCAGTTCTTTATTAAGCAAGGGGAGTCGTTTGACGTGGAATGGTACTGGTTTAATTACATGACACTCAAGGACGAGTTGTACCGAAAGCCACGTGCGCTGAAGACGGATTCATTGGGTCAGTGGACAGAAATGGACCGTCGACAAAAGAAACTTGAAAGTGGACTTGTGTACGGCCCTCTCACGAGTGTGCGTCCGATGCCGGCGTGGTCGACATTTGGCCGTATGATTATTTCACAGCATACAAGCGGTCTGAAAGTGTGGGGTGGGCGACAAATGAACATGCTTTTTGAGGTGCCGGATCTTGACATTACGGCATTTCTTGTGTCACCCCAGGAGAAGTATCTTGTAGTAAAGACCTTGAATGATTTGAGTGTGTGGGATATACGCACGGCGAAGAAGATTCGTACACTTGGCGGTCTGGATCTTGTGGATGCCGAAAAGTGGCCCATTGCTCGTTTTTGTGCGGATGATTCGCTTGTGGCCATCTCACACGCCAGCCTGGAGCCTGCCGCTCCTGGCAAACTCTTCATTTACCGCGCAGAGTCAATGCGAGTACTGCAGGCTGCATCCAGTACGACGCCGAAGTCTTACACATTTTTGTTTCCCGGGCTGAAAACTGTGGAGTGGAATCCTGTTGTTGGAACCCAACTGGCTGTCGTCATGGAACTCAGCACCAATCAAGGCTGGAAGGTTGTAATTCAAGACATCATTTTGGACGATAACCTAGTGCGCGAGGAGGTCATTGCTCAGCGTAACTTTTTGCAGGCGGAGAGGCTGGAACTTTTGTGGCACCCACAAGGAACCCACCTCGTCGTCAAAATTGCCAAACCACACTCCACAGAATACGCATTGTTTGCCATTGGTACAAAAAGTGCGGCTGTCTCCCAGCTGCAGGTGGAAAAGGGCCTTTCCGCAGGGCGTTTTGCGTGGCAGCCATCTGGCCCACACTTCGCCGTCATTTTTGAGGATCGCACGAAGGTGAGTGAGTTGGGATCGACGTCTGAGATCCGTATTTACAATATTAAAAAGCAGCTGAAGCTGCTGGGGCGTTTTATGACGAGTGCGACGCACCTCTTCTGGGCCCCACGTGGTGCCCGCGTAGTTGCCACAAACTACGGCAAGTCGATTATGCACTTTTACGGCATCAACGACCAGGGTATGGTGGTTCAACTGGAAAAGCACGCTATTCCTGTGACAGACACGGCATGGGACCCGACAGGCCGCTTTTACGCCTCTTGGGTATCGGCGCTGAAGAGCCAGGGCGACAACCACTTCCGCATCTTTGATCTAAATGGAAGAGAGTTATTGAACAAACCGGTGCGTCACCTCTCACACTTTTCGTGGCGGCCGCTAGCGGCACCGGTGATGACGGCGGAGGAGTTGAAGCAGGTGCGTGAGAACCTGAGCGAGTACACCCAGCGCTACGAGCAAGAGCTAAAGGAGCAGAAAGAGCGGGAAGAGGCGGAGGCACAGCGTGTTTTGCGGGATAAGCAGGAGAGGTACATTAAACGCATGCGGGACATTGCAAGATTTCACTCGGATAAGGAACTGGCGGAAAAACGAGAACAACTCATTGCTTCATCGCCATGGAGCCGGATGTGGGCACGACGTATGAAGTCTCTCTCGGCAGAGGAAACGATTGTGCACGAAGACGTTACTGAGGAGCGCATCATGCATCGTCGCGCCATTAATTAAGACAGATAGAAGAAAAAGAAACATGTGTGCAATTTGAGTGCTATGCATTTCTGCATGGATGTAAAGTGAGGGACAAAAGAGAGGGGAGACAGAGAGAGAGAGAGATGGAAGGGACATCCAAATACACACAAATATAAAGCGGTGGGATTTTTTTTTTTTCCTTTTTTTTTCTCTCTGTGTGTTTGTGTGTGTGTGTGCGTCATTGGATGATTGGGGGGGGAGGAAGAAGGGATGGAGTGTGGCTTGGATGCATGTTGCACATGACACTCCAAAGTCTTCTTCTTTTTTCTTTTCTGTTCTTTTCCTTTTCTTCACGGCTTCCATTTTTTTTTTTTTTTGTGGTCCCACGTGCATCTCGACGCAAAAAAAAAAATGCGTACAATTGACTCACGCACAACTGTCTCTTTTTTCTTTTTTCTTTTTAAGGTGAGAAAAAAAAAAAAAAAAAAAACATCAATCAAATAAACAAATAAACAACAAAAAAATGAACGGACTTTTCTTCACTTCTTCTCTCAATTTTTTAAAACCCCCTTTTTGTATCCTCACACACACACACACACACTCGCCGGAATTGCCGCTTTTTTGTTGTTGTTGCTGACTGAAGGCTGCTCAGGTGTTTTGTCGTTTAGGTGTGGGTACTGAAGCGGTGGGAGGGGGGAGGGAGAAGACGCGAGAAGCAAAATAAAGGCGGGTGAAGAAGGCAACCGATCTAATTATATAAATCAATTGTGTGTGTAAGAGTGAGAGACGGGGAGGGGTGAGGAATACCGACATCAACACGATAAGAAGTACAAAAAAAGAAAATAAAAAGAGAAGCTGAAGAGTTATATGTGTATTTGAGGTGATGCGCATTCCCGCATTCTTCAATTCTTTATATCTCTTCGTTTTTTTTTTTTCTTTTTCCCCCTTATTGTTTTATTCCCGGTTACGGCACTGCCAATATGGCGTGCAGAACACATAATTATATGCGTGTGTTGTTTGGTGATTGTGAGGATTTGTTTCTTTTTCCCTTCCACGTGCAAAATTTTTTTTTTTTTTTGTGCGTATGTGTGTATTTGTGTGCTACTGAAGGCTCTCCCTGCACCGGTCCGTTTATTGACTGCCTGCGGAAGAGAACCAGCGCTTATATTATTTAGTTAGAAAAAAAGGGGGCGCCGAGGGGTCGAATGAATGCGTGCAAAATGATGATGTGGCGTCGCACGTGCCTTGTTAGTCCGGCTGTGGGAGTTGGCGTCCACCGACTCTCTTTTTTATCCATCCCGCAGTCAGCTAAAAGGCCTTACACGACATCAAATCAGAAAAATGAGGATCATGTGAGCGATGCATCGACAGAGCCGCCCGTGACCTCTTCACCTTCCGCGTCAGTGGATGACGAATCTGCACCTGCAGCTTCCTTCGAGACGTCCACAAAGGAATCCAGCACTTCTATTAAGAAAGACGAAGTGCAGACGGATGTTGAGCCTCTGCGATGGGTGCAGGACTCGCGTGACGACCCGCTGACGGAGCCTATTTTTGATGAGAAGGGGCAATTTATTGTTTCCCGCGTGCAGTGGCCGACAGGCGAGATAGCGTACACGACGCCTCCACCGCCAGACGGCAAATTGGCCCCTCGTTTTGGGTACAACATTGTGCAGGTGAAGAAGGACGTGTCGTGGTGGAAGCACTACCAGAAGTATCCTCGCTTTTCCATTGCGTACGTCAATATACATGTTCTCTTCCTATTGGGGGCGGCATGGCTAGCAGCGTTCCTCACAGACGAGTACCGCAAGACGATGGAAGAGATGCGCACACCAGGGGCGATGGTGGGGGAGCAGCGTGGGCGTGGGTCTGTCAACCGGCAGTCGCAAAAAGTTGCGTTTACGCCTGGCGAGATGACAGAGATTATTGGCCGGGCGCAGAACAACTGGTTGGACGCCAAGACCGAGGCGAACTACATTGGCTCAAAGGATTACAACATGAAGAAAATCCCGCGGCCGAAGGAGTTTTCCATGGAAGACTTTCGCAAGCGGTAGACGAAACGGGGGTCTGGCACGCGGTGGTGAGGGAGCGGGAGAAGGAGCGAATGCTGCAGGAGGGGCCAGACAAACAGGCAAACAGAGAAAAAGACGGCAACTGCAGCAGCAGCAGAAAAAAAAAACTATATTTCAGCAAATTACATTTGCCTGGGGAAGGATGGGTAAATTGTTGAAGTGAAGGCATTGCCACTCCACTCCACTCCTCCCTCGCCTTTTATACCGCGTTGGAAGAAAAGGAATAGTGGCGGGTGGAAAGAGATGCGGTGGTTAATAAAAAAAAAAAAGAGGGTGGGAGGTTAAAGGCGCATCACCCCTTTTTATTTATTTATTTATTTATTTATTTATTTTGTACAGGCATTGTTTTTTACTTTCTTTCTTTTTATTTTTATTATTATTTGCACATCTCTGAGCCGCCGTAATACCGAGCACCAGGCAGATGCACACACACACACACACACAAATGTGCACATTTATATGTTTTTTCTTCCATTCCCTTTCTTTTTGTTGGCTCTTTTGTTATGATGTCGCCTTCTCGGTGTTGTCCCTTCACCCTCCTGCCACACAAAAGAGAGGGAAAAACAAAATTCAGCGGGGGGAGGGGAAGGGAGGGTGGCCAATAGAAGTAAAAGGAAAAAAATTTATTTGTTTTACTGGAAAACGAAAACAAAAAACAAAAACAAAAAAGAAGAGGAATAAAAAAAAAAAAAAAATCAAAAGGGAAACAAAAAACAATATTTATTCACCATGCAATTGAATTGGAGTTTGGGCTCAGGGGTCTCTGAATTGGGGTCCCGCTCAAATTTTTTTTTTGATGCGCCACAGGAGTATCGTGTGGCCACACGTTCCCCTCTCACTTATGCACCGCAGCAACGAAAAAGTGTGAAGGAGTGTTTTAGTGCTTACGGCTACACGAACCCTGTCGACCTGAACGATCGCGTCTCTTCAACGGATGAAATACAAGTCATAAAACACCAAACTCTTCTGCCGCGACTACCCATTCCGACTGTAGAGGAAACTTGCATTCGCTTTCTTAAATCCATTGAGGCAATCGCAACCGCTGAGGAGTACTTTGTTGCTGCGAAACTTATCGGAGAGTTCAAGGCGGCAGGGGGCATTGGGGAGAAACTCAATGCCCTTCTTATGGACTGGGACAAGCGGTGTGGGCAACCAAGTTGGCTAGAAGAGTTTTGGGATGACGCCTACCTCTGCCCACGTGATCCTATCCCCATTAATGTAAACTATTTTTTTGGCTTTAGCGCTCACCCAGAGAAGACTGCCATGACACAAATTGGGCGTGCCGCAAGTCTGCTTTATGGCGCGGTGGCCTTTCATTTGGACTTCCGTTTTGAGAGGCTGTTGTGTGAATTTGAGCGAGATCGACCTATTTGCATGTGCCAGAACCGATTCCTTTGCTGTACGTCTCGGGTGCCCGGCAGAAAACGTGATCGCAAGGTATGCTATTGTGAATTGCCTGCTTTATCAAAAGACGAATTAGCCTCTAAGAGTGTTGAATATGTTTTCTCGGCACATCCGCCACAGCACTGTATTGTTATTCAACGCAATCGTTTCTTTTCTTTAAATGTTGTAAAGGACGACGGCAGTATTGTGGACGTGGAGGATATTGTGGTGGCGCTAAAACTCATTGAAGAACGTGTGGTAAGTCATGAGGAAGCGGGTCCACCGGTTGGACTGCTGACGACGATGAATCGTTCAGCATGGTTTGAGGCACGCGAGCACCTTAAGCATCTTGGCAACTACGAGACGCTGCGAGCGATTCAGTCGGCCATCATTTGCGTGGCGCTTGATAGCGTGGAGGTGATAACTTCGGATGAGGCCGCGCGGATTTTCCTTCACGGCAGCGGCACCAACCGATGGTTTGATCGACACAACATTATTGTGACACGTGATGGTTGGGCGGGTGTGAACTGGGAGCACTCCGTCGCGGACGGCACGGCAACGTTGCGTCTGGCGGATTGCATGTATCAATCGGATTGTGATCATGTCTTTACAGAGAGTTTGATTGCAGAGCTGTCGACGGACGTGTCTCGACGCACGCGTGCTTCTGCGCTTATTACGGATTTGAGGTGGGTGTTGGACAGCACCGTCAATGAAACTATGAAAAAGGCGTTTAGAGACTACAAGCAGATGATTGAAGTGAATGAAACGGCGGTTCTTCGGTTTCGTCACTTTGGCGGGGCTCAGATAAAACACGTCAAGGCCTCCCCGGACGCTTTTGTTCAAATTGCCTTTCAACTCACGTATTACCGTCTGTTCGGACGAGCCTGCGGAACTTATGAGGCGGCGAGTACGCGGACTTTTTTGCATGGCCGAACGGAGTGTGTGAGAAGCGCCACGCGCGCTGCATTGGATTTTTGCCGTGCTAGCAGCGACCCTATTTTCGGTCAATCCACGGGCTCTGCACTGCCGACGCAGCGTGAGCTGATGCGTGAGGCGATGCGGCAGCATTCTGAAAATATGTTACTTGCGAAAAAGGCTCAGGGAATCGACCGACATCTTTTTGGCCTGCGCCTGCAAGCTGTGAAGCACGGCATTCCACTTCCTGACATATTTGAAAACCCCGTGTTCAAACGGAGTGCGCACTGGAACATGTCTACCTCGCACTGCGGGAGCAGCAGCCTGAGCCTGTTTGGTTTTGGCTCCGTTGTGGGGGACGGCTTTGGGATTGGGTACATGATAAAGAACGATCACATTGATGTATGCATTACATCGAAATACACACATCCCTACACGAGTTCGAAGGTGTTTGCGACGATTCTGCAGGCTTCGTTGCTCCACATGATGGGCATCGTTGAAAGCGAGTCGTCGCATCAGCGGGCGGAGGCACGCACGTTGTTGTTTACCCACCCGACAGGCTTCAACGACTTTAAGTACGACCCGGAGGAGGGATTTGTGTACGAGGCCTTCAAAGAATAAATGAAACACGTTTTCTCTTTGCAGGCAACACCGTGTCGCCAAAAAGGGCGCATTACAATCATGCGTTTGTCTGATTATATTCCAAGTTCTTTTTTTTTTCTTTTTTTTTTAGTTCCAGTCTTATGAATTTATGCCTGAGTCTTTTTTTTTTTTTTTGGATAAAAACCCTTTTTGTTTTTTCCCTTCTTTTTTTTTTTTTCTGGCCTTTTCGGCATCATTAGGCGTCCGAAGTGATTTTTTTTTTTTTTTTAATTTATATTTATTTACGGGCGATGCCATATGAGTAGAAGTGTGTGTGTACACGCAAATATGAATTCTTTGTGCGTGAGTTACCGCCTGTGCACAGAGACGATGGTGCCACCCCACACTCCCACCTTGTGCCTCTGTTTAATACACTGTCGCCTTTGTGCGTACTTGTTTTGGTTGGCGAAGGAAGCGATATATACATACATATATAATATATATGAAGGAATCCACACCTCCACCGGAAGGAACACCGGAGCAAACAACTGCAGCGACAACACCTTCCACCGGAAAGGGGTGCAATCGTGCAATGGAAGAAGTGGGGAAGGAGGGGCAGTCGGCCAAGTTTGTGACATACTCCACATCTGAGCCGGCGCAGCTTTCTGGTGAAGCGAGAAGACGGTCACATTTCCGCGCCCGTGTTCTCGAGGCGACGCTTTCACCACTCGAAAAGGCGATATTTGACGTGCCCCTTGAGGAGTGGCTGACAGTGGACCGCAGCAAATTTTTGGGTTGGCGCTGCGCCGTGCCCCACCCAGTCACAGCGGATGAACTGAAGCCGGTGGATCCTTCGCACGACATCTTGCGGCACATTGCTCTCCACAATGGTCCTGTAACGGATCTGCAGCTTGATGCTATTGTGAACGCGGCGAACAAGACCTGTCTTGGTGGTAAAGGCGTTGACGGGGCGATACATGCGGCGGCTGGCCCGTTGCTTGTGCGAGAGTGTGCCACCTTTAACGGATGCGATACTGGACAGTGCAGAATCACGAAGGGGTATAATCTTCCAGCCCGTTACGTTCTGCACACTGTGGGTCCCATTGGAGAAAGACCGGAGGCGTTGCGAAGCTGTTACCGCTCTATTCTTTCTCTGGCCCACCGAAATCGTCTACGCAGCATCGGTTTCTGTTGTGTGAGTACTGGAGTCTACGGCTATCCTTTAATTCCCGCCACGCGCATTGCCGTTGACGAAACTATCGAATATCTGAAACAGCATTTCTCCGCGTTTGATCTCTGCTGCTTTGCCTGCTTTAAGCTTGAGGAGTATAATGCATACACCGACTGCTTACGGGCATGGCTTGGCACAGCTCCAAATGCTTCCAGCGATCAATAGTGCAACCACATTCCATTCCACACGGGTGGAAAGGGGGAGGGTGATGCAGACGGAAGCGGGTCAATTCACCACCTACATGCCTGGTGAAACATAAACAACAAACAAACAAACAAACAAATCAATAAAAAAAAAAAAACAAACAACAACAACAACGATTGGGTCCGCTCAAATCTCGCATTTTTATTTTTTATTGCTTTGAGTGGAAACATTGTTATCTATCACGTATCATGAATGAGAAACGTTTGTTACTGAGGACAATCGCGAGCGTTTTATTATTTGTAAAACAATTGGGAATTTATGTATTGAGGGATTTATTTATTTGTGTGTTGTGTGCCACAAACATACATGATCAAAGCCATAACGGCTTGCCAGGATCAAGCGAACAAAATGGACAATTGTCCAAATAGCATCCTTGGCAAAAAAATTTTGGGCCGTCTTTTAGTATTCAATAGGCCCAAAGAAAAAAAAAAAAACATTTATATATTTGATATAAAAGCGATGACTTCTTTTTATTTTTTTATTTTTTATTTTATTTGTGTGCTTTCTTGGCAAATTACGAAGGGTACAGCCGAAATTTGGGGTTAACGGATTTTTCTGCTTCGCAATTCAGTCGCTTCCGTGCAATGCTGCCGGCGGCATCCAAATTCGGTGGTATTTCATGTGCGATAGTTTTGCATTGACATGCACTTGTCACTGGCATTCCGCACCGTACCTAAGCTCTCACCGGCCTGAGCTTTTCATGGAAGGTTGTCGCCATTTCCCCCTCTCCCCTTCAAATTTGTCTTTGGTTGTTTTTCCCCGTTTCTGTCTTTTTTTTTATTTTTATTTTTACATGCACCGGCTTTTTAGCTTTTTATTTTTATTTTGCCTTTCGTGCGCTGCCATTTAATTCCTGTTCTTCCGCTATTTTCTTTTTTTTCTTTTCTATTCTTTTTTTTTGTGTGTGTCTGTGTGTGTGCAGTGACGGGTGGTGATGGCTCATCGCCTGCTCCTTCCGCTGCCTCCTGCCTTTTCCCCACCGGACAGCGATGTGGAGGGGTACAGTGTCTTTACATACGATGATCACGACAGAGATGCGGAACATCCGGCGCTAAAGGCGTATATTGATCAGCTTTCCGCCTTTCTTTGTAAAACGCGTCTTATTCAATACCATCCGGAGGATTTTTTTCTCATATTTCTCCTCCATGATGAGAAAGAAGCCACCGGCAAGGCGGAGGCGTTGAAGTATCCGGACGGCAGCGCTGTGCGGGAGGAGGAGGTGAAATATATGCGGGATCTTTGTGGGGCGTTCACAACGCTGATGTCGGACAGCAATACTCTGGTGGTTGAGTTGCACGCTATGATACGCGATGGACCGCCAGTAGGCTCTGCGGCGTGTCTGCACTCATTCTTTTTGGAAACGAGGGCGTTGCAAATGAATCGGCAGAGACGCCCGCGGAATGATGCGGCGAGTGTGACGCTCCGGACTGCACAAGAGAACATGCCCATTGCATCACCATCGTTGGCGTCGTCGTTGCCGCAAAATGGACAAGAGGGTGACGAAGTGAAGAAACGGCACCGTCGCGACCGGGTGATGGAGGTAGTACTTGGACACGGTATGGGGAGAAAGAAGCAGCACGAGGTGGGTGTTGTGCGTGACACCATTGTGGATCTTGTTGCGTGTTGCAATGCCACACGAACGGGCAGTGGGATGCTGCCGCCAGATCCAGTGGAAACTGTTCTGAATGTCGGCGAAGGCAAAGGCTATGTTTCCCGCGCACTCGCTTTGTGTGATGGACTGCAGGTGGTTGGGCTTGACTGCAACCCCGCGCACAAGGAGCGGGCGATGGAGCGGGTTGAGTTTCTGCTGCAGGGACGTCTTGGCGTAAACGCGGCGAGCGGGGAATCCAGAGGCCGCGATATGCTTAACCTGATGTACGAGCCGCGCGGTCACATGGCGACGGTGACATGTCGTGTTGGGCCATGCATGGACTGGGCGGAGGTCCTGCGCGGTCATGTCCGCCTCTCGGACGGAGCTTCCTTGGAGGGCTGTGATATTTTTGCCGGCACAATCGCCTCGGAGCAGCAGGAAATTGAAGAAGCGGAGGCACCACGAACTTTAAAAGGAGCCAACGATGGCACGAAGATTCAGTGCCGTATTTGTTGCCACATCACACGGCGGAGTGCAGTCAATACGATCATACGACACGTACGGCGTCACCTTCAGAGTGACGACATGAATAATTTCTCAGGGATTCTGTCGAAAGAAACAATAGATGAGTGGAATCGCGAACTTTCTGTTGAGGCATTCAACAGAAAAATAATCACTACCTTCTTCACGGACGAGGTGTGTTACAAATCCAACGCTGCTGTTGAGGACGAGGCATCCGCGAAGTGGACACGTGTTGGATTTGAAGGGAGTTGTTTTTCCGACGGCATGATGCGGGAAAAGTTACGTGACACTTTGAACACGTATGATTGTTTAATGAATGTGCAAATGCCACGTGGTACACGGGCAGAGGTACTTTTACCCATGAGGCAAACGAAGCAGCAGTCAATACTACCATTGTCGCAGTTAGGAGATGAGATAGATGGAACGGATACGCCAGACAACGTCTTTTACCAATATGTGCATACATCCCTTACTGTTGTTGGGTATGACTGCGCCTCTAATCGTCACTTTGTCATTACAGACGATGGGAGTCAAAAGGAAGCCTTTGCTTTATTGCAGTATCTCCATGGCTCAAATCAGGTGGATGGAAAATTCATTGATGAGCGTTATGTTCCACCTGCTGAGGATGCGTGGAGTATTAAACTAGCACTGCTGCTGCGCGTTATACCTCCGGCTACTCCACGCATGCCCATTGTGCACGTACCAGATCTTTGCAACGTTGTCATGATGGGACTTCATCCCTGCGGCGACCTTGGATCCAACGTATGCCGTCTCTTTGTGGAGAGCGCGTCACGTGGGCTGCTGCTCGTTAGTTGCTGCTGGCATGCGCTGACGAACGCTGGATTTCCACTGAGCTATGAGCTTCAACGGCGCGGGTGGAGGACGGAGCAGCTCTCTCTGCTCCTTGCCACGCAACCGTTTGACATGTGGTCCACCGTATCTGCGGAGGGTTATCGTGAATCTGTCTGCGTGCTTTTTTACCGCAGTCTCCTTAAGTTGTTCTGGAGCCGTTTGCGTGACCGCTGGCAGAATTCAACAGCTACGTCGATGGCGGCAATCCGCTGTTGTCCCTTTGCTGAGGTGCCGCACTTGGAGCCGGCATTCCTGCGTCGAATTGCCAAAATAAAGAGCACCATAACGATGGAGGTGTTTTATGTGGAGGTGTGTCGCGAGTACTTCTCTGACGGGACAACAGCGGCGAGGAAGCCACAATACACATGGAAGTCACACGTCTGTTCCTCCTGCCGTGAGGCACAGACCAAATATTTGTTTTCTGACACGAACGTTGCGTTGGCGGCCGAAATCGGGAGGGAGTTTTTCGCTACCCATTTCGCTCCTTTTCTTGGTATGACAGTTCTGCGGATGTGGATGTGTCATCTTGTCGAGACAATGCTGTTGCTGGATCGCACCTTGTTTCTTTCTGAGATGCTGCGGAGGGATCGACGTTGCCGCGGTTCGGTTGTATCACTTGTGCCGCTCTTTGACGGTGCTGTTTCCCCGCGTATGTACGGCGTGTTGGCCCGACGCATCCCAACTTGAATTGCCGGCTGGTTGAGGGTCTATGAACGCATGGATAGTCACCTTCTGTGCGGTGCATCGTAAAGAAAAAAAAAAAAAAATAAACTTACAACTGACAGAAGACACATCATAATTGCGTTTTTTTTTTTTTTTTAGTCGAACTGCCCGTTGCATGTTATTTTGTCGTTGCGCATCACGACATTTGCTTTTTGACATGCTGAAAATTTATTTGCATCTGTCCATTTGTTTGGTGTTTTTTTTTTTTTTTTGCTTTTTTCTTTTTGTGTATGGCGGGGGTTAATATCCCAGCACTCCGGTGGCTGCGGAGTCACGGCCAGCACGGCATCGAAGTTACACTCAGTTTTCCCGGGACTTGGTGCATTTTAGATGAACGGAGGGGAGTATGGCCGGTATCGCTGTGCGCCTCCGCACCTCAACGGAAGGGTGTCGTCAACACGCAGCCGGACCACTTCCTTCTCCAGTGCCACCCCAACTGACAACCCGTACATCCAAAGTTTTCAACAGAAGGCCACAGTCGATGTTTGTCGGTCGCCTGCAGTTGTACGACGCAAAGGCTTGCGCACGGCGCCGACCGTAGAGCGACAGAAGGAACACAGAGAGAAGGATTTGGAGATTCACTCGCTGCGTACGAACAGTCATCATCATCGTCAACATCAGGGTACCGAGTTATCGGGGGAAGGAGGAAGCACCACGCTTGCAATGGAGCCAACTGTGGTGGCAGAACTTAAACGACTGTTGCGTGCGGAGCGGGTGATGCGGCTTGCGGCGGAGCGACGCACACTGGAGGAGGCGGAGCAGGGGGCTAGAGCTGCCATCACCATCGAGGCCAACTACGGTTCCAGGTTTCTTCACTCTATTTTCCTTGAGAACATCATGTCCATTTCATCTACCCGTACCGATATGATGCCATGGGGCCGTACGGGAGGATCGCAATCACCATTTTCAGCCTCTTCTTTGCACGGCAAAGTTGTTTTATCTGTGCCGAGCGCATCTGCTTCTGTTTCGGACGCTAATACTTATAGGCGACTTGTGGAGGAGAACCGTCAACTTCGGGAGGAGGTGAGCCGGTACAAATCCATCGACACGGAGGACAGGCGTGAAATAAATGAACTGCACCGAAATATGCAGGTGGTGATTGAAAGGCTGACTCTTGAGCGAGACATGTTGCACGCGGAGTTGACTGGAGGCAAGTCTTGGCACGGCGCCGCACTAAGTGGAACCACTGAGCATGGAAGGATACTGCCGACGACCACGGTAGATCGGTCGTTGTGGCACTACGCACACGTGGTTGATCCCACTGCTGTCAACG